TGCATGAAAACTCTCCAAGTCTTTGGTGGTATCCCATGAAATGTCTTAAAGTAGGTTTGGGATGGGATATCAAAGAAAAGGTACTCATTTACAAACTGGGAGAAAAGGTTGCTTTGGTTTTGGGATATGATGAGCAAATGACTCTCAGCTGAAGGTGAGATGCGTCCCTGGGCATCAGAATATTTTGGGATAGAACAGAGGCTGTGAAGTTTCAAAACAAGACGGTACTTTCTTTGCACAGGGAACGTGTGTAGAGAAGTGGGATGAGGGAAAGTTGAAAAGATGGTGCGGGGCCATTTGGGAGGGGGAGTGACGAAGTTTCTCGAAAAAGTGCAACCTGGCAGCAGTGGGCAGGTGAATTGCATGGGGCCAGCCTGTGGCCTCCTGGTTAAGGCGTCTGGGAGCCTGCACAGTTGGAGCCCCCAACCAGCACTTGCTGACGGGGTGTGCCCCAAATCCCAATGGGATGGAGAGATGGGGACGGGGCCCAGCGTGACTACCTCCCACACTGGTGTTTTCTTCCTTTCCCTCCTGGTACTTTTGCCCTTGCTTTAATTTCTTTTATGTAAAAAAACCTCAGTTTACATTTGGTTCCTAAAGGGAAGACTGCTTTAAAAAGAGATTTGAGAGGTGCCAAGATGAAGACTGAGGAAAATACGCAGTGCAATGTGGTGCCAGGAAAAAGCTGGGAAAACAGAAGCAAGGGGAAGAGTCCAAGGTAGAGGCCACAAAGTCATGGGAGAACTAACAGGACCAGCAGTTGATTAACAAGCTTAGATAATGTGAGGGCTTAATAAGAAATCTGTCCTAAGATCAGAAGAGTCACGATGCATTTTAACATAGAAAAAATACATCCTGACTTCCTTGACAACGCAGTATTAAAAAGTTATGATCTAAAGTGCCTACAGAATGAGAAGATAAATTTAAAATAATTTTGATAAAAAAGGAGACCATACTGTAAAATATTTATTTAATAAAAATAATTTTATAATCTATACAGAATTGAATAAAAAGTACAAGTTATTTTTACTTCTTTGTAAAACTGCATACAGTACAACTTGAACATTAGGGTCAGCATTCTACAAATACGTCACACACAAAGATGCGAACATATTCTTGTCTTACATAAGTAAAGGCTCAGGCTGTGTCTCACCAATTTTGAATTACAATTCCGAGTAAATATTGCTTTGGCAACATGAACAATTTGATTGTACCACAGTCCATTTTATTTCTAAAAATTAAATCCTTCAAACACTACTTTTCTACTTGTTTCTGAGTAAACAATCCTCTATACAACAAAACAAAGAAAAGGTAAAAAGAAAGAGAAAAGATAAATTATAAAATTGGAGGTCGCTACTTCTACGACATCAATTCCCTGGTCCCTTCCCTAGCTAGTGTTCTTTTTCTTT